ATATGGTTTGGTACTATCTGCAGTTTCAGGCATCTCCTGGGGGTCTTGGAATGTATCCCCCATGGGTGAGGGGTGGAACTATGTACTAAGAACACAGTTTAGTACACAAGTTCATTTGAAAACTAAATTTAAATTATGGTAAAATACTTTTTAACAATGCAGTAGTTAATTATCAAAATCCATAAATATAAGACAGGTTTGCTAAATAAGTCATTGTAAGGTCAGATCATTGTAAGTTAAGAACTTTCTCTTAATCTGGCCCTTATGTCATGTTATCAAGCATTCCTTTTGTTATCAAATATTCAACTGCTTTATAACAGTGGTTCCCAAACTTTAACAGCAACAGAATCCCCTAGAGCCGTGATTGGCAAAGTGTGGCTCGCAAGCCACATGTGGCTCTTTGGCCCCTTGAGTGTGGCTCTTCCTAAGCCTTAGGAGTACCCTAATTAAGTTAATAACAATGTACCTACCTATATAGTTTAAGTTTAAAAAATTTGGCTCTCAAAAGAAATTTCAATTGTTGTACTGTTGATATTTGGCTCTGTTGACTAATGAGTTTGCCGACCACTGTCCTAGAGCAGTGGTTCTCAACCTGTGGGTTGCCAACCTGTGGGTCGTGACCCCTTTGGGGGTCAAACGACCCTTTCACAGGGGTCGCCTAAGGCCATTTGAAAACACATATATAATTACATATTGTTTTTGTGATTAATCACTAGGCTTTAATTATGTTCAATTTGTAACAATGAAAATACATCCTGCATATCAGGTATTTACATTACGATTCATAACAGTAGCAAAATTACAGTTATGAAGAAGCAACGAAAATAATTTATGGTTGGGGGTCACCACAACATGAGGAACTGTATTCAAGAGTCGCGGCATTAGGAAGGTTGAGAACCACTGCCCTAGAGGGTTTGCTAGGCCCACCCCAAACTGTGACTCAGTAAGTGTGGGGTGGAGCCTGAGAGTTAGCATTTATATCAAACTCCCAAGTGATGGTGATGTTGCAGACCAGGGGAACACACTTTGAGAATATACAAGTATTGGGATTTATGACCACAAATGGTGCCCTGAATCCATGACTGTGAATTTGTCTTGGTCCTTTTGAACGGTGTATTTTGTTGCTGGTTTGTGTAGTGGGTTAGTGTCCTCCCTAAACCACAAATCTGACTTGGAAACAGAATTCCTGTAGATGTAATTAGTTTAGGACTTAAGATGAAATCACCCTGGTTTTAAGGTGGGCCCTAATTCCAATGACTGGTGTCCTTATAAAAAGAGGAGAGGACACAGAGAGACAGATACACACACAAGAAAGAAGGCCAGGTGAAGACAGAGGCAGAGGCTGGATGTGACACTGCCAGAAGCCAAGGAACACCAGAAGCTGCCACAGGCCAGGAAGGGTCCCCCCTAGAACCTGGCAGGTTCTTGATTTTGGACTTCTGGTTTTCACAACTGCGAGAGCATAAACTTCTCTTTTGTAAGCTACCCAGTTTGTGGCACATTGTTATTGACAACCCAAAAAACTAACAGTTTAATTGTAATTTTTCTATGGGAAAGGCAGTTTTGCAGAGTGGGCAAAATCAGATGTGGAAGTCAGCTAGAACTGGTTTCAAAATGCTTAGGAAAGACCGCTCTGAGCTCCCCTTCCCTCATCTGTGACATGCTTGAAAGTATTTATGAGGATTTAATGACATAATTCATATATGGTGGCTGGTACTCAGCTAGTGGCCTATGAATGATGACTACTGTCATAAATGTCTCCATCATTAAATGAGCAGTTGTTTGTGGGAGCTGTTTGCTATTTTATGCCTCTTTCTACTGGCAGGATGCTCCCTAAAAGTGGTTGGATAACCACAGTGAACTGCAAAATTACGACCAAAGGCTTGAAAGGAATCAGAGTGCTGGGAACTCCAGGGAGGCATCCAGAAGAGGAAACGGGCCTGCCCAGTGTGGCTTCTAAGAGGCCCCAGAACTAATCAGAGGGTCCAGCAGATGCTAAGTCTGCAAAAATGTGTCTGTCCACATTAGGGGCCGATCCTGGGAATAATCACCATAAAAACACCAACAAAAAAGTAGCAGACACCCTGTTCTGAGCATGGGCTTATCCCACACTCTTGCCTTGCTTTTCTCTTTTCATCCTCACACCAGCGCGACGAGGTGAGCGCCTAATCTGGTCCAGAACCAGAGAGGTTATGTAACTGAGATCCAAGGCCACGACTGGGAGTAGCCACCAGGGAACTTGAACCCTGGGTTGCCAGGTGAGGGCTGGGGTTCCAGAGGTTGAACTCCGGAGCCGCCTGGAGCAGAAAAGCTAAGCGGCTGGGCAGGGGAACGCCTTGGGGGAAGGGGGGTGGGGTGGGGACGACCCATGATGACAGGTGTTAACTCAAGATGCCAGAGCCCGGCTCCGTCCGGGGCCGGAGAAGATGCAGAGGTCCCTGGACCCTGCCGGCGGCCAAGGAGGTTGGGCATCGAGTGCGGGCTCGGCAAAAGCAATCGCGGGTAAAAGGCCACTACGACCCGCAGCCCGCGATCAGCTCAGCCCCGCCCCGATCAAGGCCGGCTCAGCGTGCCAGGGGCCGGGGAGGCTTTACCTGACTGTCTCCGGAGGACAGGGTCGCGACATTGTTCCGTGAAAGTTTGTTTCCAGCGGGTGACTCCTCAGAGTTTCTGGGCGTCCGGGCATGCGCAGAGGCAGCTGGTCTGGGGAGGGGCGAGGGGCGAGGGGCGAGGCCTAGGGACGGACAGGAGGCGGGGCCTATGGCCAGAGTCGGTGATGGGGCGGGGCCTAAGTCCAGAGTCGGTGATGGGGCGGAGCGTGGGGAAGTGGGCGGGGTATGGCGCCGTAGGCGGAGAATCGGGGCGGGACGACACGTGAGGGCGGGGCTTAGTGCAGGGCCTTCCAGGTCGCGGGAAGCGGTTTCTGCCCTGCTCCTTGCTCTGCCCTTGGAACAACGGGCATGTGAGGAATTATGAAACTGAAAATTGTAAAAAAAGGAGAGAAAAAATGAAAATGCAGTGCTGGTGAGTTGAGAGGATTCTGACACTCGTGTTTACTGTTGTTAGATTAAGTTGGTTCCATTTTTCTGAACAGCCGTCACACGCATTTACTGAGCACCTACTGTGTGCTGGGTACAAATCCCACAGCTGGCAAAAAGACAGGTGTAGCTTATCGTCAAATGGGAGAGAGAGACGGGAAGCAGAAAGTTACATAGATAAAGCAGAGGCCTTCAGTCCTTGGAGAGCATCTGTGGGAGAAACGTAACCAAATCAGATCAGAGAAGGCTTACCAGAGAGAGCAGACCTCCAAGGCAGCTGTCTCCAGAGTGTAGTTAGTTCAGGACCACAGCATCAGCACCACTAGAGTGCTGTTAAAATACAGACTCCAGGGTCTCATCCCAGAGCTGCTGGATCAGAAACGGGGGGTCAGGACCGCTGATGTGTGCATAGGAGATTTCTGTATGTGTGGAAAGTAAACAAGGGAAAGGGGAAGAGGAGAGAGTTCTAGGAAGAAGGACAAATTTGTGCAAAGACTCCATGGTGTGCACAGACCCGAGAGGAGTGGCTTGAGAAGAGCCAGTGAGAGGGAGCCTGGTTGGAGCTGACACTTCAGAGGTCAGACTTCAGAGACTTAAGGCCAGGCTGACTTCTCTGTCCTGTACAGGAGATGCAATGCCTGGAACCCACAATAATGTTCTCATTTTAATTTCTTTTAAAATCAGAAGAAAATTAATAAATAATAAGCAATATAAAATAATAAATCCAGCCTGATTACATTCATCTTTATACCAATACAGTCATAACATAGAATTTATTTTATTATTATTATTAGTTTATGGAGGAAGGGGTTCATAAAACCAAATTGCCTAGGGCCTGTGAAATTCACAGTGCGGCCCTGGGAGGTGGGACAGTTGGGCCACATTTCCCAAGATCTCTAAAACCACTGAGCTTAGATGTTCCCCTAGTGAGTCTGCCAAGGCTGTGAGCCCAAACCAAAAGCTTGATGACAGCCTAATAATAACAATGATGGCACCTCACCCACATTTGTGTACTTCATCCTCTGAGCAACCCTAATGAAGTCGGGTTATTTCCATAGCGGTATTAACATTCCCACTTTCCAAATTAGGAAATAAAAAATGTCTTTTTTAACTTTACACAGCTAGGGTTCAAGGTTAGATCATTCTGACCTCTGAGTTCATTTGTTTCCACATCACCTCTCAGAAGCAACTGACCTGTGAATTATATGGCTCTGATTATGAATGAGAAGGAGATACATTAACCCTTCCTCTAATATCCATTGCATACTTACTATGTGCGAGGCATGTCTAAGATGTGACGCCCTGACCGTGAAAACCTCTTAATCTACTGGGGGTTATAATAAACATGACTCAGTCTAGTAATGCACAGTCCATTCTCAGCTCTGTATGAGAAGGGAAGGGGAAGTGGTTCAGAGGATTGAATTGGGGACTAAAAATTATTTCTGGGGATTTTATTTTCTTGTCTTTTAGACATCCTTTGATTGAGTCCTTGATTTGAAGAACAGCAAACTGAGGCTCAGGGTAGTCGAGTGCCTTGCCCATGGTCACACAGCAGGTGAACTCTGGAGCCAGGTGTTGATCCCATCCACTGAGCTGCAGTTGGCACGAAGGTAGATTTTGAGGAATAGGTGGGATTTCAAGAGGCCAAAGTGGGGGAGATGGCTTTCTGGGCAGAGGGAATAGTAGAAGCCAAGCATGAGGGAAGAGTCTTGTTCAGAGGGGCCAGTAGAGCCCTGGAAACAGGTGCAACGGCTTTGGAAGCATCAGCAAGATGAAGGCTGGCCTTCTTCCTAAAGAGTGGATAACAAGTCTGGGTTTTCAGGAAGATCTCTATGGAATTGGGGTGGGTGGATTGGAAGTAGGGAGAGACTGGAGCTAAACAGAGGGCTCTTCCAAAAGTCTGGGCTCAAGGAACTAGAAAAAGATGCTTCATACCTTCTGAAAAATCCCCATATTGCTGATGTCAGAAACTCAGAGTGTAACAGGGGATGGTCTTAATGTAAAGGCAGGATAGAGATACTTTGCTGTGTACCAAGGCCATACGCACAGCATTTTCTTTCAAGATCAGAAAGACTGCTGTAAAAATACATAGGTTTTATGGGGTTTATAAGGCTGAGAGCCATAGCACATGGAACTATACAAGGTGAAATGCATCATAATAAGATTATATATACATGGTATATACACATACATGTATCTTCAAACCTGCAAAGCAACACAGGCTTCACAGTTAATGGGCAATGTCTTTAGGGAAAATTACTCATCTCTGTAGCTTTTGTACACGGATTTGTTGGTAGTGACGTAATTCTAGAAAATGGGTTGAAGAGAAGCACAGCTATAAAAAAGGTTCAGGGCAGCATGAAAGGCCAACACCTCGATGTGCAGCTCTCTCAAAGAAGCTGTTCCTAGGGGCCAAGGTGGGCCTTACCTGCAGTCCATCCACCTGGAACCTTTATTTGAGTAGCACCTTACAGCCAAGCCTGGGTGCTGCCGAGATAAAGAAACTCCAACCTGCCTAAGAGCAAAGGATGTCTAAGGAAAAGACCTACAGCAAACCATTAGCTTGAATGCCAGATAAATGTGCTAATCCAGGAAAGGGGCTAAGTGCTCTGGGGAGGAAGGTGCAGCAGGCCAGCAATTAATTCTGCCTGGGAATACATGGTGAGGTTTAGATGGGCTGTGGAGAGATGGTAAGAGAATAGGAATACTTAGCCCTTAGCATTATTTTCTAATGTTCAAGAAATGTGAGTTTCCCCCATTCCTTCCTCAATTTACAGGAGGGCAGTCTTAGGGAAGAGCTTTCATATTAAGTATCACATCCATCAGAGTATAATGGTTATAATTGCTGGGTTGGGCATTCATCCTCTATCTACTCCGCGCCCCCCGCCCCCCCAAACACACACACATCCTGCCAAATCAGAGAGCACTAAAGGGGTATAGCATTCCCACCTTTTGAGGAGGGGAAGTTGAGGGAGTTTTTTGAGGGCTGGAATTAAACAGGAATTTCTCCAAGAATAGGTCAGGGTCCTCCACATCAAAATCATCTGGGGGATACGCAGACAACTCAGTGCCCCAAATCTGACCGGGTGGGTACTTATCTCAGGGTGGAAATTCACCCAGGAACATGTATTTCTGAGCAAGCTTCTAGGTGATTCTGTTGTAAAAGTTAAAGACACTGGTTTAAGAGCTCCAAGAGAGACATTTGATGTTGAGGACATAAGCCACCTCCTTGCCCCAGAGGGAAGGGCAGATGGTGGCCACCAGCAAGAGGAAGCACCATTCCTGGTAGCATTGGAACAATCTTTCTTTCTGGTCTTTGGAGTTGGCAATGTGGGCAGGTCTGTCTCAGGAAAGGTGAGTGGATTATTTTGTAGAAAATAGGCTGGAGCAGATAGATCCCTACATAATAGGGTCTTTGATTTTTTTTTTTTAAGACCCATTTGAAAAAGGAAAGAACTTATCAATTTGGGTCAGTATGTTCTCCCGTTGATGACCATTCTCGGCTAGGCATGGAGTTGGATGCTGGAGATATAGGGACACATGACAGTTAATTCTTGCACTGGAGAGCTTTGGTGTCACATGTGGCAGTGAGTGACTTTAGTCTGCACAAGGATCTCCTGGGGGCTGATTACACATGTAGGTCGTTGGGCTGCTGCCTCAGGGATGTTGACACAGGTGGGGCCCACGCATCTGCATTTGCCACCAGACCCTTGGGTGATTCTGATATGCCTACACTTTGAAGGGGGAGAAATGGAACTGGAATCTGAAAAAAAAAAAAAAATAGAAGAGGAAATCAGCCAGGCCCAGGAAGTCTAGATAGACACTTAAGCCAAGAAGTCAGTGACCTTAATTTCTGACAGCAGGTGTGGCCTGGAAACTAAAGGTTAGACACAGATTAGAGGGAAAATGCTTCTAGAACTGCCCGGGATTACAAACATGTAAATTGCTGGGAATTTATATCTGGGCGCTGTAAATGTGATTTTTTTCAAAGTAATTCATGCTGTTTTCCATCCATGCTTAATTTTTATTGTGTTACAGTAAAACAGATATATGCTTGTGTATTAAAGTGTCTCAAATCTCTGAGCTTCCATGAGCCAAGCCTGCCAAAAACTGACAAAAAATGATGGGAGTGCATCATTCACATATTTTATACCGTTGTCGGTTCTCATTTCCGTACACCTTTAGAAATGAGCTAAAGATTAGTTATGTTTAATTTCTTTACTGTCATGGAATCTCTGTGTAATGGAACAATCAAGTAGGTTTAATTACCAATAACAACTGTGCTGGGAAATTTGTGATCTAAATGAAGGCTCGGCCTAGGATGTACGTAATGGTGTAATGCTGTAACTCTGCCTCACAATGAGGCACAGTCTGGTCTCAATTAGCCTGTGAATTAGTCGTGAAATTGGCTTAAGGTTTTCCAGTGCATGGGGAAGCTCAGTGTCTGTGGAGGAAGCACAGACTCCACTCCACAGGGAGTTACCCTCCGTGTCCTCACCCTGGCCTCCGGTCTGCCCACAACCCAACCCTGGTTAAACTCCTGCTTTTATGGATTGGTGAGGGGAGATGGCAACTCACATCCCTCCCCAGATCCAGACTCCACCACTTACCTGGCTTGGTACCTTATCCAGACCATTGTTTATACCGCAAGGAAAACCTTGCCATCTGTGCTCTGTTCACGGGGATTACACTCTGGCATGCAGCCTCCTGGTGTATCTGGGGTAATCAGTACTACAGGGGGGCAGAGAGACAGACAGACAGACCTGAGATAGAAGGACAGGCCCTTTGAGAAGGATGCTGTCCATTTGATGCTAACCTCTGGCTTTTCCTATGGCTGTTTGTCTAAAGATGGCCACACACGACTCTTGTTGGGGGAGAGAGGGTGGGCATTGGTCCTTACTTGAGGTCTTTCATGGAAGCAGGAAAGAACGTGGGTTGTCATGGAGTAATTTCAGATCTGATGGTGGAGGATTGTACTTCTTGTATCACTGTCCAATGGAACTTTCTGCAGTGACGGGAATTCTCTATATCTGTGCTTTCTCATATGGTGGCCACTAATCAAATATGGCTATTGAGTACTTGACATGTGGCTAGTGTGACTAAGAAACTAAATTTTACATTTTATATACTTTTAGGTAATTTAAACAGCCATATGTGGCTAGTGGCTACCGTATTAGCATAGGCAGGTTTGCAATATCTGAGTTTCCTTCCCTCCACAAAGGGTACAATGTCTTCCAGGTTAAACACATGCTTGGGGGAACATTCTAGAGGCTTCTTCCCAGGGTATTGTTGGGGAATGAAGGCTAGAAGCCAGTGTCACTAATTCCTTTCTTTTACAAAAAAAAAAAAAAGTAAACTCACATTACCCCCAATAGGCACCTACTCTTACCCACTTCCCATCACAACAGTGAGGGGTTTGAAATAGGCCTTTCCATTTACCCAAGACAATAAGCTGTTAGCAAACATGCTTATTTTGTTATGCCTGTTACACAGGATGAGCTGTATTGAGTTATGTATTGGACACAGTGATTGGATGCCATGCCTGTCTTTACAGAGTTAATATTGTGGAAGGAGAAATAGAATACTTTCCAAAATGTGATCCAAGCAACCTTAGACCTGTGACGTGCCCTGTGGGAGGGCGCTAATGTCAAATACATTTTGAAAGGCAGCATTTGATAACTACCTCTCACAGACATATAATCTGTTAAGGTGGTAACATTTCCAGACTTTGTTTAGCCCCACTTTCCTAATATATATTGTTTTGTTTTTTACTAACTATAGATATAGGAAAACATTTCAGCTGGGCTTTGAAAAAGAGGAAGGATTTTGATGGGCTAGAGGGGGAGGTAACTTTCATTCTAATCTAGAAGAAGAGACACAGAAGAATAAAAGCCATGGAGAGTCCTGTGGAAAGAAGCTGGCTTTGATTAAAGAAAGGGCGGACCTAGTAGTGGGCGATAACACTGCTAGGGTACCCTGTGGCCCTTTCATAAAGGAAGTGAGAGAGGAGGACTGGCTGGCTTTATAGGATCAACTTCTTGTGGCTGTGGGCAGTGGGGTGTATGCATGTGGGGGGAGGGGGAAGGGGGGCAGGTGCAAGATATTGTAGGCACCTCCAGGGCTCTGGAGAGTGCTGGATTCTCTACTGAGGAAGAGGCAGTGTGGGTTGTGGCCACAATCTATTTTCTGGAATTCTGGCTAGGTTACCAGACCACAGCACGTCCATTGATATATATATACACACACGTTATATGCATGGTGTCTGCTTTTATGAAATTTTATGAGACTGTGCATTCAAAGTGAACTCGCTTCAGTTTATCTACATGGGGGCATAACACAGAGCATAAAACATGCAGAGCCAGAGGCTCTCCGAGGTCGCCAACCTCATAAACATGTCTCCCTGGGACACTCACTGGGGCGGTGAGTCATCCTTCTGGGAAAGGGCACAGGCTGCCAGGCTGTATCTCCTTCCTGCTTCGTCATTCAGAATACAGACATGCTTTAGAGGCGGGATAAAAGGCAGAACAGGTTTCCTTTCATGTTGTTTTGTCTTTCTTCATAGTTCAATGTACATCTTGTTCCCCAAATAGACTCTGGGCAGCTAACTAGC